TATATATATATATATATATATATATATATATATATATATATATATGACAATATATATATATTGTCACGGGATGTGGCATATAGTGTGGGAGTGGAGTCAAGGGAATTGTAATAGATATGTATGATGTGGGGGGAGTGGGGTGGCGGCTTGGGGGAGAGGAGTTGTCACTTTGAGGGGTAAAATGTATAACTATTGCACTGTGTTGTACAGCTGAAACTAATTTTAAAAATGTTTATTTTACAATTTAAAAAAGAAAGTAAAAAGATGCTAATTAATATCAAATAAATAAATAAAATCTACATATTTTAGAAAAAAATTAGTGGTCTACAAACATATTTTCTATATTATGGCAAGTGAAACAAAACAACAGGGTAAAGAGTAATACACACTGTATAAAATAAGTTATCTCAACATATGATAACAGGATTTTAAAGTGGAATTCAGACCAGGCATCAAGAGATCTGAAGGCAGTATTAGATTATATGCCGAAATATTACAGGCCTTGAAGGATCACCTGGAATCAAAATGCATGATTTATGTTTAGGAACTTGCAGGAGAGAGGATCTCAGTAATAAAAAGGAGGTTGGGGGGGGGGTCCTCAGAAAAAGAGTGGACTTTGAATTTCTTTACAAAGGAAGCAGTTACATCTTAATCTCACTTCAAGGGTATAAAATGGTCAAGGGCAGGGGCGGGGGGTGGGTGTTGAGGATTATTGGAGAGGATTTCTTGGGCAAGAGTCCTCAAGTCAATAGCATGAGATTTAAGGGGAACATTGGGATGTGAATATAACCTACAGTTTGGGGAACACAATGTTGCAGTGTTTAAGTCATACCTGAGAAATCTGAAGACGTACAGATGACAGCAGAGTAGAGGGATAAAGGTTAGGAAGTATCTGCATTCCTAGAATTTGTGGAGCTGAAGGATGCTCAGATTTTTTCCACAAATCGGATATGGGCCACTATGAAAGGAAGCTGTCATAGAGTTGTCTTGGATTTTGTCTAGCTGAACCACTTGGAGAAGTGAGGGCATCTCAGAAGAATAAAGCTGGAGATGAATCTAAAGAATGTTTCTCAAACAGGAGTGATTTTGCACTTCTTTCTCAGGGGATATTTGGCAATGTCTGGAGACATTTTGGTTGTCAACTGGGGAGTTAGGGAGAGTGTAGTGCTACCACTGTCTATTGTTTGGAGACCAGGGTTGCTGTTAATATTCTCCAATGCACAGGATGATCCTAAACAGGAAAGAGTTGTCTAGTCCAAAATATCCACTGTGTAAGTAGTGAGGAACCCAGGTATGGATGGAGCCTTTAGAACAAGCCTCAAAGGATCAGCTAGAATCAAAATGCATGATTTATGTTTAGGAAATTACAGCAGAAAGATTCTCAGGAATCAAAAGAAGGCGGGAGGGGGGTCCTCAGAAAGAGTGGACTTTAAACATCTGTCATCCAGAGAGCCCTGACACTAGATAAGCATGACATTACTTGCCAAGTCAGAGCTCGCCTGCTTCCCTTTTCTCTTCTATCCCCTCCTGCTCCCACTCAGAGAGTGGTTAGAGAAGGACTTCGCAAAATGCAGGAGAAAAGGCATATGCTAAATGAGGAGAGAAACAAGGAAACAAATCATGCCTCCTTGCCCATCTCCCCACCATGCTTCTATTAGAAGAGGGAAGACATAGGGCACACTGATGACTCCCTCCAAAAATATCCTCAAGCCTCATCAACCTTCCAATCAATCCTCTCTCACTTATATTGCCAGGAGATGGCTAATGGACAAATCCTAGAAATGTCATAATCTTTATTATGACTTGTACATATGGTCTACTATCACTTTAGAATGTAGGAATACTAGATGCCTAGCCATTTTCTAGGCTTTGGGGGACTCTGCCAAGACACTGAGAAACCCTAAAACCTTTCATCTAGTAGATGCTGTGTGTATGTAACCATTACTCTAAGTATTGCCCTATATTTAACTGTGAGACCTCGACTTGCTAAGTAAGGCCAAGAGTGGTGCTCTACCACTGTTTATTATGATTAATCCTGGATTCAGGATTAGTAATGCTTGGGAGGCAGCAAAAGAGAGTAATATTTAAGACCATGCTCTCTAATCGAAATATGTTGCCCACAGTTTTTCTAAAACTTCCTTGATGTTCAATCAATATAATTATGTTCAAAATCTAAGATGACTGCTTCATTCTCTCTCTTTCATTTTCTTATGAATCTCTATGTTAATATGTGTCATTTAATTTCATCACCTAAGAGGGAAGGGCAGTGAGTGGTGGTGAAATCTTCCCTCTAGAAAATCTGGAAACGTCATTTTTCCCTGGGTCCCCTGGCAGCTTTTATGATGAAAAGGTGCTGAGGGTGTGAGAGAAATCCACTGTCCTTCCAAGATACACATATCTGTCTTTCCATTTGATGATTCTACAAAAGGGAAAGAAGAATCAGAGGTGTCAATATCAGAAACCAGACAGGAAGCTTTAGGTGCTTATAATACACCCTTTTCTGTTCATCCATAAGATCAAAGATAATTGGTCTGAAATTGAGACATTGTGTTCTGTGTCTGGAATTCTTATGACAGGGACCACTACTGTTTTTTCTCCAATGCATTCTTGGCATCTTTTGTGACCTAATATGTTGAATGGCTCCCTTTGTGCTGTATACAATCAAATCCAGACTCTACTCAGTGAATTTAATTTGATTTCTAAGCTTCATTAATCAGAACAGACATACAATCTTTTTTAAAATTTATTTTTAACAACTGGAACAGGTTGGATAGCAAAACTGACAGGAACACATCACAAAATTCTGTCACATTGGGGTAGAAATGTCATAAAATGTATTTACTTCCAGCAAATTTAAAATCTCTGATTTAATTTCCCTTGCAGGCTGTACAAAACCTCAGTGGCCAGCAATCTCTGAGTCCTGAAGAATTCACCAACTTGGTGTTTCATAAGATTGATATAAACCGTGATGGTAAGGCAGCTACTCTCCTTGGACTCACTTTTCCTACAATGTAGGAGATAGTGGTGGTGGTAGAAAGCGTGGTTTAGACAAAAGCATCATTTCAAGAAAACCCTAGTTGGGATATCATTTGAGCTTCCTAGTTTGACCAGTCCGATGTGTTCCATATATTCAATGCATGGTGCTTAACACTTTAGGATATATGAGGAAGAGTAAAAGAGACACTAGGAAAGAGAAGTAGGAGAATATGAGATGAAGGACCTTCTGCTGTTTGCTCTGGGTCATGTTTTAGTCATTATTTCCTTTCTACTGGAGGTTAACTTAAGAATAACCTTTAGTTTTCCCTATTGAAGAAATCCTTCCTTTAATTATGCTATCTTCTACTATCAGATTTTTTTTCCTTCCTTTTGACTACACATTTCTGGAAGGAGTTGTCCATACTTGCCTCCATTTCTGCTCTTTCTACCTTTTCTGTATTTTCATTCTTACTGTTCATTTCTCTATTTTCTCTTTGTACCCTAAAATCTGGGTTCCTCTTTGGATCAAAGAAGGTGTGCTTCTTCTTCAAAGGTGGAGTGAAAAGGAAATACAGTAATACCTTGGCTTGCAAGCATAATTTATTCCAGAGACAAACTACTTGTATTGCAAGACATTGCTCGTTTACCACGTTAAAATGTGTTAGAAATGTTTGCTCATGTTGCAGAACACTCGCAAACCACGTTACTCACAATCCAAGGTTTTACTGTACAGATATTCCAAGAAAAGGGAGTGTTTACACCAATGGCTTTGATCTTAGTAAACTGGTAGGTGAGCATATTGATTTGAAACTGAAGCAGCCAGCCTGTCTTGGACTATTCTGAAAAACAGAAAGTTTGGAATTGTGTAAAATATAATTATTAGTAAGACAGATTTTTAAAAAAAGGATGGAAATGACGCATTGGGACTCCAGCCATGGTTGTCATCAATCCACAGAAACTTTTTCCACAGAATCAACCTGCCTACTGTGAGTCACTTCTTGTAGTAGACACTAGAGGGCTGTAGAGACCCATGTTGAGTGTGGCAGTTTGCACTAAAATCTAGCAGCTCAGTCTGGCAGGATGGGATGTTGAGGAGGCTGGTAGAGAGCTCAAATGAAATCAGCAGTATGAACAAGACAAATGACTGGACAAGAGTATAATTAAAAAAAAAAGAATTTGGAGACAAATCAATAGCATCAATTTTTCCCTTAAGGACCCGGTTCTAGATTGGTCTCACCTCAATCTCAAGTCAGAATGCTCATTTACTAGTTTACCGAGATCAAAGCCATTTGGTGTAATCACTCAAGTTTGGGTCTCCATGGATCAAGAACAAAATAAGCCAGTTCATGTGAAAGCTTGCAATAAATAGATTCAGGCTACCTAGAGTTGATAGGAAAGCTAAGTGAAGCTAGAAAAAGACCAGAGAAATGGAGAGTGGAAGGTCTTATGAGGCCAGTGCAGCCTTATTTGGTATTTGATGATCCAGTGAATACTGAACCAAAGACAAAGATCACAGCACATGAAGGTGCAACCCAAAATGGTGATCACCAAACAGGAGAAATACTATAAGTTTTTTCTGCTTTGTTTGAATTTTTAATCTTAGAGGTGCTACAGGATGGAGTAGAGAGGATAAACCATTTCAGCCCAGGGACTGAAATCATTGATCTAAGGATGAGTATTCAGGAAGTCAATAGGACATCATAAATGTTTAAGACTTAGTTAACAGTGAAGTTCAAATGGGCAGGTCAAGAATGTTTAAAAATATCTATAGATCTTGCTTCTAGTGCTGGGAATAGGAGAATAGAAAAAGGTGACCTTCCTGGAAGAAGTATGAGGATTGTGGTACTTTAAAAGGCTCAGTTTCTATTAGATTAAGAGAACAGGCAGGGCTGGATGAGTGGCTCAGTTGGTTAAGAGCTCACTCAAAGGTTTGAGCTCTGAGCAACAGCGATTCGAGTCCGGCCCGAGCTGAGCTGCTGCTGAGCTGCCAACAGGTGGCAGGATGGCTCAGCTAAAAAGAAGAAGAAAAAAAAAAAAGAGTGAACAGACAATGTGTTCCAGAAAACAAGAAAATGATTCAGGACAATTTGTTTACTATCTAAGCAGGTCCCTCAAGAACAAAGTATAAGGAACCAATAAAATGGAGAATATGGTTGGAAGAGGCCTAGAAATAGAAAGAGCTAGGTTGCAAAAGGATATGGATCTGAGAGAGTGAAGGTGTTGTGCTCAGGCAATAACTGAGGTCACCTGCAGGTAAGAAAAAGGGCTCTTTGACTTAGAAGAATATGTAAAAAAACAAAAAAAAAAGAATGCTTTTTGGCATAGTTTACTGTAGAATTAGTCACATAAATTATTTCCTCTGATAAAAATTCATATTTAAAAGTATGTATGTATCATTGGCTTTTACAAAATGAATATATCAAGTAAACTAGTTGT